CACCGCGAACATTGTTTGCTATCAACAATCAATCATTAGTACGCGTCAGAAGTAAAATATGTCCAGATGAAAAGTAAATTTGCAGTATCATCTAGAATTAATAAAGTACATAGTATCGTGTACTGTAAACAATAAAAACAAAAACCAAAACGAATAGTATAATGTAACGTAAATAATATTATAACTATGTAACAAATGGTTCCAAATTTGCAGGATTTTTATATCTTTCAACATCTGTAGATTGACTCTGCGTCAACCGATTTCGAAAATTCTCAGCATAAATTACGTAGATTTACAAACTGCACTTTTTTAAATTTTCATTACAGGCTCAATGAACAATATTAAGAAACTAGAATTTTTATTCCAGGTAATAGCAAAATTAAGAGAGAAAAGGTATTTTAGTCGTTGTCTAGTAGACTAGATTTTCTATCATCTAAAGAAAAACAAATGTAAGTCATTTAATCCAGTTTCAAAAATGTTATTGCGTTGTAAAGGTATGCCAATATTTCTTACTCGCCGTATAGATACACAGCATTGTCGTTGCATTTCAACAGGAATGATCTCGCCGTATCTATAATGATTTCTCGGCATTATCTCGGATTCAGTACATAGTGAAGAAACACCGGTATCAAAATCACACCGGTTTTAAGCCCCTGCTTCTGAGTGAGAAAGATCGTAGGTCAACAGCAGTACCAAGGGCGAACGATCAGGCTATCAATTTGTAGCGCGGTCTTCGGATTCATTCAATTAAGGTAACTTGAAAATCTCGGCACGTCCGACTGCGAGGAACTTTTCTGCGGAGCATTTGTTCACCTTCGTGGAGTAGCCGAGCCCTTCAGCGGTACTTGTCCCGTCTGGGAGCGCTATATTGACCTACATCACACCGGTAACAGGCCGCGACTGTCGTTTAGAGGGCACGTTTCAACGGCAAGATCGCCTGGTCTCATTGTTCAAGATCGAATGCTTCAGACAATCATTCCCAGGAAGACTCTCTATCTCGGCGGGGCTCCCGGCAGGGCTACTCAACGAGACGTCTAGTCCGCGTCGCATTCACGTCGGGGGAATACGGTGGAATGTGCGCAGCCGGTGTGTACATATCATGGTAAATGCAGCTACTGCATACGCTGGAACAGACCTCTTATGAAACCCATCCGTTCTTCTCTAAATATTTGGGCATTTTCATAAGAGGAGCTTTTGCTAAGCCCGGGCCATGGCAAACGCGTACTTCTTCGGTAACCCACCGGCTACGTACGTGACTTCGTGAGAGCAGTCCTGTAATATGCCTATAAAGTGCAAACACTGTCAGTGTCCCCGGTAGCTGGTGCACGGCATAGCCGGCTCCCGAGATACACGCAATTTACGTGGCGCCGCTATCGGATCTAGTATTTCTTCTGACGAATTACCGAGAGTCGTCGACGAAAACCGGCTAAAAATCCTGTTGGAACGTATCGCGAACACTCGTTCCTATTCCGTCAGCTAGCATAGTTCGCTGGGAAATACTACTGTGATCAAAAAGTAAGGTGAAATTGTCATGTAAAACTCCCGGACATTAGGAAGGCAGGCAATTGTTTTTTTCCTAGGTTGGTAGGACTGTCTATAACAATTGCCAAGCGTCTGTTTGTTAAAAGGTTTAATTATCTCCGAGTTACACGTGTTTTAGTAAACGACCAAAAGTGAATTTTTCGATTTTTACAATGGGTGATTTTGTTGAGCAAAGAACTTGCATCAAATTTTGTTTGCGGAACGAATATTCTTGTGCGGACACGTT